GCCGAAGAAAGGGTAAATTGTAAGGCGCTCAGCTGCCGCCCCATCTGGAATACTTTCGAAACGCCTGTCATCGTGATCGGGGAAACCCAAAGCAATAATTCAGTAGCCAGGAAGCCCCTTCCGAGACGGGGCCTACTTTCGAGACGGCAGAGAAGGACACTTATGTTCCAACGGAGACAGAGAGAATGGAAAATTCCTATACTCCGCCGGAGCTTATTGGCCAAATTTAGTGTACAACGCCATCACCTTTAGCCAATAGCGACGCGATCGTTGTAGAGCAAGAACATATGAGGAGAAAGGGTGGGGATAAAAGTTAACTTCTTGCATTTATGAGAAACAAAATTTCAGTTGGGAGAGAGACTTCTCTGGGGTGGGAGCTATTCCCGGGGAGAGGCGAGTGCGCCTCTGAAAGCACTTGGTTGAAATCACTGGGGTGATAGACTGCAATTATCAGAGAGAATTTTAGTGCAAAAGCACTTCAAAAGTAAATGGGCGAATCCTTTGTAATTGCGTATTCGCTATAGGATTTCGCAACTTCTGAATTTGCATTTGAGAGGATTCGCATTGTTCAGAGGGAAACATTGTTGTGTGCTCCGCACCTGCGACCGGGGGCAATACACCTCGACGACATCTACTTACTCCGCCGGGCAGACTCCAGACGACCCCTCTGCTGACGTCACGGAATGCCGCAGACGCCGCGAGCCGCTGCCACCCGCCCTATTGGAGAGGGTGCAAGCCATCCCGCATTCCAGAGAAGGTCGCCCCGGCCGCACACAAGCTCCGCCGTGCCCGCCCGGGCCCATTGAGCACATCTGCCGCGGAGGGCTCTCAGGCAATGTAACTGGGGGCAATAAACCTTTTGAAGTATTGTCAAAGCGGTGCCGCGCCAAGGCACAAGGAGGTCCTCTGGGACAACTCTGTAATCCTAGCTATAAAATAATTTTGTACTCTTCTCTAGTTGTAAGCCTTCCTTTAATTTTAATCTCTATTTGTTCTTTTTATTCAATCTTTCCTTTCTTTTATTTTATTAATGTAACTTCCCTGGTACAGTTTATCCAGGAATAAACTTTGTTTTTTTACCAGTGATCAAATTGTTTATTTTGAATGCCCATTAATTTCGTTAACAATTCCTTCCATCACCTAATTTTAAATGAGCAAAGGAAATTGTTACAATTGGCTAGTTTTTAAACGAGTAAAGGGAATAGGACCGACTGAGCTATAACCGGGCCGCTAACCGCGCATTTCCCGACGATCCCATTCGCCGGGAGATGAGTGGAGGTGTTACAATATAGAGATATTTTCTGAATTTCTGGATGCTCTCGAATTAGAATTTCGAGGGAAATACACTAATACGTATTGTAACGTTTCTCGTGGCGAATTAAAACTCACTTGTATTATTTAAACAAAAAACGTTTATTCGTGAACAATTATACACTAAAATCTACTGACACTAAAAACTACTTGGTCTATTTACAGATATATTACACTTAATTATTTTTCTTTACACACGACTCCGTTCTCTTAATTATTAATTTACACAGTTCACTTCTTACACACTATTTATTTACACTGTTCTCTTCCTCTACAGTATCACCCAGTTCGATGCACTGTCCACGGTCCAGTGCACTGACCCAATTCCCTGCGCAGACCACAATTCCCTGCGCACACCAGGGTCCACTGCACTGCTGTTTACCGCGATGCACCCCTCACACCTCAGTTTCCACTGCAGACTTCAGACTGCTGACTGCTGTTTACCCACTGCACCACTTCACCGCAATGCACACTTTACATCACAGCTTCCACTTCGGACACACTTACGGACTGACTGCTTATTCACTGAACTCTGCTACTCACTGACTTCTACTGACTCACTACTTACTACTGACTTCTTACTGACTCGCGGCCGCCAGCAGCGGCGCATTTATATCTGCCCGCCGCTCGTCTCCAGGCACCCGGCACTTTCTCCGCGTTTCCCCGCGGCTCACGAATAGTCCGGAACCGTCTAGTTCGGGGGGGATAGAAGGGGCGCCGGCAGATGACGCAATCCACGCGCAGTGAATTCGGCAGGTGATGCAATATTCGTAACAGTATCATTGAGCCTAAACGAAAACCTCGGGACGATGGAGGCGTATATGCTAAAAAATAAACCTGTAGCGTTACGGAAGCTATGTCTAAAGCCCGGGCTAACATCGAAGCGTTAAGATACAGATAGCAAGATGCCCTAGAAAAGAAGACAGAGTTCTAAAAGACTATGCAAAACGGGAAGAGGTCAATAGCATAGAAAAAAGATAGTACCCACCACGGGTTCAAAGGAAAAAGAGAGAGGCACCCAGCCCACCAGAAGACGTTTCAAGAGGGAAAAAAGAAAAGAGAACAGAGCAGGCTGTGGCGAGTCACACAGATGTACCTTGTGGACGCCACAAACAGCAGGAAAGTGGGGATGGAGGGAGATGAAGGATGTGAAACACCGGAGGCAAAAGAGAAAGAGGCCAAAAAGAAACAAAGGAAGAGAAGTGAACCCGATCAAAAAGCGCCAAGAAATAAAACCCTGGCCGGGCCATCAAAATCACTGCCAAAGAGGGAAGTCATATACTGATGATTCGCTAACAGATATGAAAAGAGCAGTCGATCCAAAAGACCCCAATACAATCGTTAAGAAAATAAGAAGAACTCAGAAACAGGAGCTACTAATTGTCCTGGGTAAAGAAGGGAACATAACATCATTTAACAATGCACTTGTAAAGGCAGTCGGGGAGAGTGCTATAGTTAGAACACACACCAAAAAAGCTTGTAGAAATTAGAGACATTCACGAGACTGTTTTAGCAAATGAAGTAGCAGCTGCAATCGGGAGGGTCCTAGACACACCGACCGAACAAGTAAGCAACTATAGCTGACTATATACGGGGTTTGCAAGCACACAAACAGCGACAGTCTTGCTACCTACAGATCTAGCCTCACAACTACTGAAGAATGACAAGAGTAAAATAAAGATAGGATGGGTCAACTGCCAGATACGCGAGAAGCAACAAGTAACAAGATGCTTCAAAAGCCTAGATTTTGGACACATATCAACCAAATGCCCGGACCCTGACCGTAGAAATACATGCTACAAGTGCGGAGAAACAGGGCATCAGATAAAAGACTGCCAGCAAGACACCCAAATGTGTCATATGCAAGGATAAAAATGTAAATGTTGGCCAAGTGCTAGGAAGCAGAAAATGCTCCTCATTCAACGCCGAAATAAACAAGCAAAGTAAGCGACAAAATAAGGTTCCTACAACTTATACTTGTACAAGTTGCAACTAAAAGAAACAAGAACTTGTTGATTGTTAGCGAACAACCGACAACCGACAAAAACATGTGGTATCAGGATGCTACTGGAAGAGCCGGCATAATTCATAATAAGACGTGACTCATGTCATACACTATCAAATGCCTGTGAAAGATCAATGAATAAACCTGCTGTTTTTCTATTTGATTCCAAATTTCCAATGATTTCATGTATGAACTCTACGAAAGCAGTGGTGGTGGAGAAGTCCTTCCTCAAGCTATGTTGTGCTTTATTAAGGATATTATTAGATTCAAGAAAACAATTAAGTCTTGCTAATATAAATTTTTTAAGGAGTTTGCCAAATACTGAAGTTAAGAGTTATAGGTCGGTAATTCCAAATATCCTGTGTATTATTATTCTTAGCAAGTGGTCTTACAAGACTACGTTTTAGGGATTCTGGGATAGTGAAAGCAGCTAGAGATGAATTTATTAAGTAAACTAATATATTAAGAAGAGCAGGCTTAGATGTTTTAAGATTTATTGAAGTTATTTCATCATTTCCAATTGAGCAACTATTTTTGAAGGAATTTTATCAGTCTATTAACTTTAGTAGCATTTGTGTGATAAAAAAACATGGATTTTGAAGTTCCAGAAGATGAGGAATTAATGGTATTATTGGTTACAATGTCTTGCTTTGAATTTAAGAAATGACAGTTAAAGGTCCTACAAATATCAGAAGGATTATCAAGAAACATGCCTTCATGTAGTAGATGTATGTTTTTTGTGATACTGAGTTTTCCCATTGTTAACTATATTCCATAATGTTTTAGATTTATTTGTAGAGTTGATAACTTTATTATTTAATTGTTAAGTTATCTCATTCATCAGTTTTACCCTATAATGTTTTTAATACTTTTCATTATAAAACGGGTCCTTAGTATCTCTGAACATACATGTTTTTTATTTTTGAGAGAGCAGGAAGAGAACAAGAATTTCATTCGGAAGCTTAATTTTTTCTCCATTAATTTGCCTCTTAATAATGGGAAGAACCAAATTACTTGATTTCAGATATGGTCTTTTGTTTACTGCATTCAAAAGTGGAGAAAATTAAATATTTCGATTTAAATTCCCACCTCCAGCGTGAAAAACATCTGAAAAACATAGTCACACACACGACGCGCGTGCTTGCAACATGAATTATACGGACAAGCAAATACTATGGGTCGCACGACTTAGAGTGACGTCGATGCTAGTCTTGGCTGGCTAATAGCAAACACCGAGCCGTGACGTCACCGTGATTCTAGATTGATGGTGGGGGAACTGCGTTCTGTCTGTCAATTTAAGCTCACCCGTAAGAAGCACCTTTATAAAAATCGCACTATACTCGGGAGCGTTGTAGCAATCTGTATAATATTAATAGGACTGTCAAAGTCGAGCTTGTGCTACGAATAATTTTCAGTTTTCATCCTATCAGTTGTCAAACTACGTAAACATATGCATTTTTTCCCGACACAGGTCCTCCGCCCACGGTGAAAATACCCCACACGACACTCCTTTTAGTGAAACCTCATTGACATCGGTTAGCCGTTCGAGAGATCACCTCGGTCAAATAGACAAACATCGCAAAAAACAATTGACTTGTTTTTGTACTGTCTAAATAAGCACGTGCGATTATAAAATGGCACTCATTTTGAAATCATAGATCCTTCAATTTTACTAATACACTCCTCGAGTGGTTCAGTTGGTATTGGATGAATTTAGAGGATGATTACGTCAGCAATTCAGTCAGCTGTCATTTGTCCCACGATACCATGTGTCTAGGTGTAAATCAGGAGCAAACGGTTTCCAGAAAAGTGTTGTAGTGCTGTCAGTAAAGAGTGGAATAATTGAAGGGCAGCAGATATTTTTTCTTCATAAACTCGGATACAATCAAATTTTACTACAACTCTTTCGGGCATGGGTGACGTGGAAATTGAGGTCACTGGAACATTAACGCACCAGCAACCTCTCGAAACGTCAAACAAGTAAGTCTTTTACCTTCGAGGAATCTGTCGTACTTTTTTAAAAATTTTTTCAGTCCTTGTGGAAAAACAGTGAAATAATGGACGTATGTGAAAACTGCAAAATGCGTTGGCAAAAATTGAAGAAATCAGGATCATGAAAAATTCTGAATAGTAGATTTTAAATTTGTTATAATACTTAATATATTTGTTAATCACTTTTATATTTTTATATAAAGGATTTAAAATATAAAGGAAATGTCACTGCACAAATGCATTTTCTTCTAGACAGATCTTTTGTCTAGATGTTGAAAAGAGAACATTATTTTCTCTTAACAAGAAAAATCACTATGTTCCCAAGAATATATTTTACTCAAGAGTCCTGAAATAATTTTAAATATCATGGTAAAGTTTGTTTAATTTAATATGTTCTCTTCATTAATTAACTTGGGATCTATTTTTCAGAATGTTCCAATTACCTATGCACATATCACTGTCTTCTCCTGCAGCAAGAGAATGGATTGGACAGCGTCGAGAAAATGTAAGACCATGGCCAGTTTTCCTTAGCACCAGCAACTTTCGGGCTCCATCAAGCATTCCAAGATTGAGTAAAAGAATTGTGAAGAACATTGAATATTTCCAGAGCAACTACTTATTTGTTTTCTGTGGACTTGTGGTATATTGTTTGTAAGTAATGATCTAAAAACCTTTGATAAATTTAATTGGGTTAAAATTTAGTATACGGTACTCCCTTAGAGAAGTGTAGCGGTGGGCGCTTAAGCCCTAATTACTGTACGTGCTCTAATAGAATTGAATAAAACTTACTGATAGGCAATTTTCATGGTTCGTCCTTCATATGCATGTGTTCGCCCTTCATATGCATTTTCATGGTTCGCATGGTTTGTCCCCGCTGCATTGTAACGCCAATTTACTTTCAAAGGCAAGTTTTCTTGCTTTGCTCGCCGAGATCCAAGTCGCTGCATTCTATTAAAATTGTATATATACAGTTTGTTTTCTACTGTTTCTAAATCAAGAAAAGAATAAGTTAATACAAATAAAAAGGAAGTTTTCTGTGTACAGGGTACTATCTAATGCATGTGCTTATATTTCAGGATTTATTTTCACTTCTAAAGACTATTATTGTGTTAGCAAAAGTTCTGTTTATGTCATCTGATTTTTCCAAATTTTATCCCTATAGTCCCTTGCTTGTGATCTGCTCATTATTGAAAATCATGGTTAAAAATAAATTGAACTTGAACCAAGCCTTAATTTTTCCAACAAATTCCATTGAAATTCTTTTGCACCTTGTGGAAGTTGAAAGTTACCTACCTTACCTCTAAATTCTAAAAATCTATTCCTTATCCATATAAATGTGGCAATTACCTTGCTGTGATCTTGAAGTATTCAAGGAAGCTGTTGTGTGTGAATATTCAATGTGTCTCCAATTTTTCAGATTTTTTATTTGAATCTTCAGGTTCTTGAGAACTATCCATATGGTTTTGTATTTTGGGACATTATTTGAACCTGTTGTTGCTCTTAGGGTGAAATTTTATATTCAACTGATCATAAGCCATTTGTAATTTCACCAATAATATTTATGTATCAATGAAATGCTGAAATATCTTTTGCAGAAGTTATAGATGTCACTGACAAAAGTCAGAAACTACAGATGTTTAAATTCTCACAGAAATTATGTAATGATAAGTTAATGCTTGCAATGAGGCTTTATGGTTGATAATATAAACTGTTTCAAGGGCTGAAGTCTAGTATACAGTACAACTTAAGGATATCGTTTAAATCATCACATCGCACTGCTCTGGCGATAACTGTGCAGTTTGAATTTTAGAGGCTTTCTTGAAAAGTGCTTTCATATAAAAGTCAATTGGTAATTATGCAGTAGATAGGCTCAAGGATGTTTATAGTGAACGCAAGGGCCAAAGGGCCGAGCCTCACCGTGACTTGGATTTGGGCAAGCAAAGCGAGAAAACTTGCCTTTGAAAGTAAATTGGCATTACAATGCAGCGGGAACAAAATGTATGAAGGGCGAAACATGAAAATCACTTATCTGTAAGTTTTATTCAATTCTATCTAAGCTCGTAGCGTAATTTGAGGGAGGACTTAAGGAGACCTGACTGCCACGCTTTTCTGAGGGTGTACTGTGTATCCAACTTTAACCGTTTCAAATAATATCCATGTTACTTGAACTTTTTTGTAACATTCCTCAATAATTCTTGTCATTCGTGGAAAAAATGACCTAGTTATGATGAAGAGGTAATTTACTAGAGTGTACATTTCTCAATTTTTTCAATGGTATCCAAGCACCTCCAATGTTTTTACAATATCTGAACTTGATGGAAACTTTAAATATGTTATTTTGTGCATTATCAACTCCTTATATGCAAAATATTTTAAAATTTTCTTTTGTCTTCTTTGACTTGTCTGCTTTATTTAATTCTCTTGTTTTGTAGTAGAAAAATTAGTTTTTGAAAATGCTTTTAATTTTAAATTCACATTTTAACTTCGTACATTAAATAAAATAACTAAAAATGTGCTTATTAATAAATGTGTTTAATAATTGTTTTATTTCTATCTTATAGAAGATACATTTTCACCTTTTTGTTTGGGAGAATGTGTATCAAATGTTCTACATTTTGAAAAAAATTAA